TGTTTTCCTCAGCTCTTGCCATCACCTATCTACCCCGTGGCTGCCCAACTTTTCCTTCCCCCAGTCTATCTGTGCAATTGTCCCCATGATCAACTGGGTACTCAGCAGGGCTGTATGGCGTTACACAGTCACACTGCCCTGTGTAAGCTCTTGCTTGCTGCTGTCTCTCTGTTTCTGTGCATGTGTTTTATATATAGTTATCATCAAAGCAGGAGGAACAGCTATTGGGTTATTTAAATTTATTTCTCCTCTGTTCTATTGTTTAATTTTAATGGACCTTAACGCGGGCATGCTAGTTGCATCTCAGAACTATATCTGGTGATGGTGTGCAAATCAGGCCTGTATTTAGCCCACACCACTGACTCATCATAGCATTTCAGTTGGTAACTCACCCCGGACTGATTTCTTCTTAAAGAGCATTTTCATGTACTATGGGGAATGCCCTGGCCCGGGGGTTTTCCAGTAAAGTTTGTGCTGTATGTTGCAGAAAAGAAGGCTCTGGGGATGGGAGTGGTGTACCTTGACTTCTTTCCTTACTTATAGTATACCTCTTTAGATTTACCAGCTAGCCTTTCACACCATGGCCCTGGGGTGAGCAAGACTTGAAGTGCTGGCCACAAATGGAGGCTGGTGTTGATGGAAGAAGGTGTGCTCTGAATACAGACTATCCCTGACCTGTGAGCAGCATTGGCATGGGAGAGCTTGGGGAAGAAGGCGTCGAAAACAAGAGGTTTGACCTAAAAAGGAGCAAAATTCTGAGGGGCTGTGAGAGGAGGAAAGGGAGGCAGGGTGAACCCTTGACAGAAGAAGGAAGAAAACTAAGGCAGGGCAAGATTTCTTGGAGGGGGAGATAAGGGGCTATAGGCCCCACCCAACTACTGCATTCATATCAGAGAACCACAGCCCTCACCCTAATTCTCTGCTGGAGCTGCAGCCAGCACAGACAGGGTCCTGCATCCCTTGTACACCAGAGTGCAGGGCAGAGCTCTCAGGTTTGCCATGGTTTGACTCAGAGACAGAAGCAGGAGGGCAACAGTCCCACAGCCCAGAGCTGTGTTGCACTGTGTGATGCTTCAGCTCAGGTCAGTGTTAGTCTGAGCATCTTTGATGCCCACCACTGCTCAGTGGAGACTGGTCCAAGGGCTGGGCACTAATTTGGGCCAAAGTCTGCTCCATACAGGTAGGCAAAAGTAATTTTTCATCCTCTCCCTATTATTGGTCACTCTGGTGCTGGCCAGCTCCTGATATAAATTAAAGGGGATCCAGAGTTATTTGAATTTACAACCTGCAGAAGCTGAATTGTTCCTGTGCTTAAATTAGCTGGAGGTCAGCAATCGTGAAACCTTTTCTGTGTTACCCTCTCTTCCCCTCCTCCCCTTTGCGCTCCTCCACAGAAGGAGCAAAGTACACACTTACACAGTCTTTGTGAAGGAAGTCCTGGGTGATTTGGGGGAAGGGTGATGCCTTCCCAGCCTGTAATGATAAAAGGGAGTGATCTGTAAGTAAAGAGGGAAGGACTAAAAGAAAAGCAATGTAAGAAAGAGTAAAACATAATCTTTTTCTTTATCCATCTTCTTCCTCCAATAAACCCCCACCTCAAAACACAAAGATCTAGGTGCAAGAACAATTAAGTGTCTGCAAGGCACCACGCTGTCTCTGCAGTGCTGCATTGCTCTGGCAAGGAAGAGCCAGAAAGTTGCTTAGGTGAAGGAAGGCTTTGGGCCACATTCAGGTGAAACATCAGCCTTTCCATTCTTAATATGCTCGAGCTACTGGCAAGCACGGCTGTGCTTAGGTGGGAGTGGGAAAAGCAGAGCTGCTGGAGAGAGCGCTCATTCAGGTTGTGTCCGTGCCAAGGAGTGCATTTGAACAGAGTCCCACGGGGCATGAGTTGCTGAGCCCCAGGCTCGGCCTGGCAGGAGTGAGTGGCAGAGGGAGGGCTAGATTCGGTACGGCAGGATTGGCACATCAGCCTCAGTGGGTGATGTGTGCCTGGGGCAGAGGTAAAACGCCACACAGACCTAAGTTAAAATCTAAGCTCTCTGTTGCCCAGACACAAACAGGGATGGCAGGAGTACAGGGGAAGGACGCAGGGGGTCTCTATCTGGCATGGTTTGTGCTGGTAGGACAGCACTGGAGGGGGGGTTGCTGAGTCAGCGACTTTTCCGAGGTGGAAGAGAAATTATTTCTGTCCCCTGCCAGCACTTCATGCAGATCCAGGATACAGTTCCCAGAAATGTCCCTACATATGTTATCAAGAAGGCAACAGTCTGCACATTTTGCAGCGAGAACAGCGTGGCGACTGATGCAGCACTGAGCTGTGAGCCTGGGGTAATGGATCTCCTGACGGGAAAGCTGTGGAGTACAGCGCTGACGAGCTTAATCTGCTGACTGCCAGGGAGCAGGTTGTTCTTCCTGACTCCGAGGAAGCTTGCAGGCAAGAACCAGGACTGGAAGCAGGCAGACTACCAGCCGCAGGGCTGGGGTCATGTAGTACAGTGCAGCCCCCTTCATTACAGCAGGGACAGCGGGCTGGGAAAACTACAGTTCCCAGCACCCTTTTGTGCATGTCCCTGCAAACTACAGTTCCCAGAACCTTTTAATGAGCCAGAGAGGATGTCTATGGAAATAAATGCCGACGATTTTTGCATAGCATCCTGCACCTCCGAAGTGGTGGCCGGCCCTTGGTTGGTGAAAACGGGAACAGGGGAAAAGCCAGGGAGCATCAGCGCTGTGGAGCTGTGGTTTTGCCCACTCCTAATAGCTGCAGTGATAGTCTCCAGCACAGAGCATCCTTCCTCCCCTCGGGACTCCCTTGGCGGTCACAGGGAGGACCCTGTCCCCCAAGAAACACGGCTGCTGCGGGGGGAGAGGCAGATAGACTACAGATCCCAGCATTCTCCAGCAGGCAGCACCTGCGGCAGTCACTGCACGCCGGGGGCGGGGGGGGGATGAGGATGAGGATGAGGATGGAGGGTGGGGAGGAGATG